GGGGTAGTTGATGGTTGTTTCAACTTCCTCACTGTTGATTGGTCTATTTAGATTTTCCATTTCTTCGTGATTCAGTCTAGGAAAGTTATATATTTCTAAGGACTTGTGCATTTCTTCTAGGTTACTGAATTTGGTGGCATATAGTCTTTCATAGTATTCTAGTGTGATCCTTTCTATTTCTTTCATGTCTGTGTTGACTTCTCCTCTCTCATTTCTGACTTTGTTTATATGGGTCTTTCTCTTTTTTCCTTAATGAGTATAGCCAGGGGTTTGTCAATTTTATTAATCTTTTCAAAGAAACAGCTCTTTGTTGTATTAATATTTTGTATAGTCTTTGTGTTCTCCAGTTCACTCAACTCTACACTAATTTGTATTGTTTCCTTTCTTCTGCTGACTCTGGGTTGCTTTTGTTCTTTTTCTAGTTAAGATGTGATGTTGGGTTGTTTACTTGGGATTTTCTTGTTTCTTAAGATATGCTTATAATGATACAAACTTCCCTCTTATTACAGCTTTTGCTGCCTCCCAGAAGTGTTGATATGTTGTATTGTCATTCTCATCTGTCTCTATATATCTTTGGATCTCATCTTTTATTTCTTCTTTGACCCAGTCATTTTTTAGTAGTATCTTGTTTAATCTCCATATATTTGTGGGTTTCTTTACTTCCTTTTTGCAGTTGATTTCTAATTTCAAGGCATCATGATCAAAGAATATGTTCAGTATGATATCAATTTTCTTGACTTTGTTGAGGTTAGTTCTGTGACCCAACATATGGTCTGTCCTTGAGAATGTTCCATGTGCACTGGATAAGAATGCATAACTGGATATTCTGGGACAAAAGGCTCTATAAATGTCAATTATGTTCATTTGGTCTAGCATTTCATTTAAGCCTGATATTTCTTTATTGCTTTTCTGTTTGGTTGATCTGTGTAGAGCTGTCAATGGAATATTAAAATCCCCAACTATGATTGTATTTTGATCTGTTTCTCCCTTTAATTTTGTGAGTAGTTGCTTTCTATATTTTGGTGTTCCCATAACATATTAAAAAGTATTTGTTTTTTTCAAAAATATATATATGTATTAATTTCAGAGAGAGGAAGGGAGAGGGAGAGAGAGAGATACATCAATGATGAGAGAGTCATTGATTGGCTGCCTCCTGCCCATCCCCTACTGGGGATCAAACCTGCAACCTGGGCATATGGCCTGACCAGGAATCAAACCTCAAGTCCAAGGGGTGGCAGGGCTCTGTGGTTCCATTTCTTTGTCTGAAACATGGACAGCCACATGGTAGAACCCCTGTTCTCTGTCCTCACCAGGTGTCTGCTGGCTCAGTCACTGTTTGTGCTGCTTGCCCTGCTGGACTGCCCACTACAACTCTCTGTTCCTCCCAGCAGAAGGAAGCACTTGGTACTACCAGCTTTCTCTGGGCCAAGCTAAGAACTCCCAGATGCAAGACTGTGTCTGTGGTCACCTGAACTTTCCTCCCTTCTCGATTCCCCATTTATTCCCAGTGACCCACCTTTAGATGCTTCAATGCACGGTCTCTCAGGCATGCCTCTATATTGAGCAGGGAATCCTTTGTTGAGTTATGGTTAGTTAACTTGTTGAAATTTTAGGGAATGAGGCCAAGAGGATCTCTCATGCTGCCATCTCTGTGACATCACCTCATAAGAATGTTGAACTCAAGTACCAAAGTTCCTGAATCCAGGTTCCACCAACACTGACACATCCTGGTCAGGGATCCAAACCAAGGTCTTTCTGAGACAGGCTTGTAAGTCAGGACAAGCAGAATAGGGAAACTGAGACATGTAGTTAAATAGTTAAATAGCTAAGCAGTTTACAGCCATCTAGTAATCGCGGGGAAGCTTTGAAACCTATATGATGAAGGGTATAAAACTCTTGAACACCCACCAGTTGCAGTCCTCAGACCAGCTGAGTTGCCTGCTTGTGCTTTATGCCAAGTGTATTTTTAATAAATTTGCTTGCTTTGCTTCATTAATAAATTCACTTGCTTTGCTACAACACTTCTGTCACTCATCTGAAATATTTCTTCTGAGCTTGACAAGAGTCAAGGAGGGGACAGTCCCCCACCCCTCCAACTCAGTGGCTATCCACTAACACTAGGTCAGTGCTTGGTATAAAGCGAGGCTTGTTACAGGTGCAAGGTTCATGTGCCTGATGCTTCAAAAGAAAGGCCAATATTCAATGCATCAGAGTTTGGAGTAATGAAAGGTTTATTGACCAAGAAGGCCTAGCTTGAGAAGATGAGAGTGTATTAAGGCTTCCAAAAATCCATCTAAGACAGCCCTAGATTTAGGCATCTTTTATTGTCAAGGGAAGGGAGGAAGGGTAAGGCAAGTGGTGGGTGCAGGCAGCAGACAGCTAATCAGCTAGGTGTCTAAAGGGGTCCAAGGATAATCACAAAATTTCTTAAGCCAAATCCCTCTGTCCTTGGTCAGTCTGCCGACTCCTGATGATTTAGGGTTCTAGAGCCCTTATAAATCTTTGAAAAACAATTAATTTGTGCACATTTCCCCACCTCTTTGCTGACAAGGGGTTGCTCAAGCCTCAGGCAAAATTCCTCTAGTTGATTAGCGTCATTGCAGGAGCTGAGTCTGAAGGCCAACAAAGAGAGCATTTCACTGTTACAGCCTCAGGAAATATTTAATGGGTAAAATAGTGAAAGAAAACAAGAACAAACGACCTCCATGGAATAGGAGAAATAGCTTATCACTTTACAAATTATGTATAATAAAAATATTACAGGGCAGTGAGAAGCTAGGAAAATTCCAGGGCAAGTGGAATAAGGAAACTGAGACAGGAATATTAAACTAGGCCAAAAAATGTGGGAAATTTGTAGCTGGCCTGCAAATAACAAGCCATTATCTTCCCCAGCCGAGGACACTTGAGAACAAATGGTTAAAAGCCTCCTTAAGGAGAGAACGCAGGAAAGGACGGGGGAAGGGGAAAGGAAAAGGGCAGTTTTATTTTTGTTTTCTTCCTAACAGAGAAACCAGCAGTCTCAAGGCTGGCAAGATAAAATTGCCAGGTGCTTCTCCTGAGTTCTGGGAAGGACACAAGAAAGTAAAAAGGGACCTTACCTATTAATCTGTACCAAGATATTCAGCAGGGGGATTTTGAAACCTAGAGAGGGGGGTATAGTGCTCTTCAGATTAGCCGAGAGCCCACCTGCGCTTCATAAACCAGATGTATAGGTTTGCTCCCCTTGCTTCTTTAATAAATGTACATGTTTTAATTTTTAAATAAATTCACTTTAAGACAATTGCAATTGTTATCTGGAGTCACCCATTTTAATTCGTTCCTGGAGCATGGCAAGAATCCCG